CTGATCATTTATGTATACATTTGTCTATATCTATCTCGATTCGTTTTGCCTGTTACAAACAACCGTTATGTGAACAAAGTTATAATACCCTTGTGCACAAGTGCGCTCGGGTATAAAAAGGATCTTTCTTCATAAAAGAAAGAATGCATATAAGAAAGGGTTTTCGTGAACATTTGTGTTTCTAATATGAAGTAAGTATTGTATATATATCTTGTAAAGGAAATGGGACCTATCGACGACTTATAATTTATTGGCACATCGAACTGCATTTAGGCAAATTTTTTTCAGAAAAATTAGGCACAATTTTAAATTTTGATTTTTCATCATTGGTCTAGTACCGTTTTGGTTTATGTATACATACGCCAGAAGAAAATTTTGAACGTCCTTTTATAAGGGCACCGTTCGCTCGATTTCAATGAAACATACATCGATTGAAAGGACATAACTTCCTCTAATCCAGAAATGTTAATACCGTTACATAGGGAGCGTGGCGTCTGACATACAGACTAAAATGTGAAACCCGATATATCTGTAAAACCAATTGTGCTGGGGAACTGAAATTTTGCAGTGATGCATAAATTATAAAAACCCTACTTACTAGAGCTGGGATACTATCGATAGTTGAAAACTGTCGCCACTATGGATAGTTTTTGAAAACTATCGATATCGGTTTTAGCGAAACTTCTTTCTTTGTTACATCTCGTAACATTAAATGAATTTTTTTTTTTTAGTTTTTAGTTTAGTTATTGGAATTTTTAGCAACTATAAGCGTACACTGAGTTATAGTAAGATTCAGTAAGCTATAAAACCGCTTACACAAAATTTTTATAGAAATTAGAATTAAAAAGCTTGAAATTTTAATGATATGATATGAACATAAGAAAATAATGTTTTTTACAACTTTTATAAAAAATTAGTAGACACTAAACAAACAAAAAATAGTCAAAACTGCTAAAAACGTTGTGGTGGTATTATTTTGACCAGTACTTTATTCGTTTTCTTAGAATATGGTAAAATGTTAATAATTTTCCTTGTCCGGATTTTGATATGCGCCTCCGCATTTGATCTCAGTTGAACTTTTATAAGTATGAGTTGTCAATTTAAACGAATATCTTTTGTTTTTTTTTTTTTTTTTAGTGTTAGAAATGTATTATTCTAGCCAATTTCTCTTCTTTGCACTTCAAAAGGGACAAACAAAATCCGAATTTAATTTTTCCATATAAAAAATAAATTCAGATTTTGTCAGTCGCTATTCAAGCGTATGTATATAAGTATACATAATTCAAACGCATAAATTAGTAAGTTTATTTTGTTATTATAAGAAGTTCTTCTTGATCCACTCAAATTTAAACAAATTTATATAATCTCTTTAATTTACAAAGTAATTTATAAATTTATTAATTATTTAATTTTCATGCAATTTACCATTTCAATTCAATACTTCTCACGACGATAGTTCTATCGATACTATCGATGTTTTCAGCTCTCGTTTAGAAAACTATCGAGTGGCGGTACTATCGATAGTATACCAGCTCTACTACTTACGTCGAATAAAATTATAGTTTAAAAAACTAAAACCTCGCTATTATAATTACCATTCGTACTATCATCAGATATGTAACTTGAGAATAGGTGCATCAATATTACATAGTTACATCCCGAGCTAATAAAAGGGAGGTAAAAATGGTAGGTATTGGAAAGGGCGCTTGGCACCTCATATAAAACCTGAAATTTTCATATCGCTTGTCTCTAAAACTGGTTATGCACCTTCCTTTCCTTTCTTCATTGGCGCTGTAACTGCCTAAGCGATTTTGGCCGAGTTCAAAACAGCACGCTCGTCATTTCTCGTCTGTGCCAACGGATGTCAAATAGAAATGTCAAGTGAAGCCAAGTCCTTCTCCACCTGGTCTTTTCAAGGCAGAGGAGGCCTTCCTCTTCCTCTGTTACCAGCATCGCGGCCCGCGTTGTATACTTTCAGAGCAGGAGCGTTTCTTTTCATTCGAACGACATTGCCAAACCAGCGTAGCCGCTGAATTTTAATTTGCTGCACTATATCTACATATATCGTTGTAAAGCTCATTCACTGAGCCAAAAGTACAATGGGTTTTTTCACCCAAGTTATTATTCGGTTTTTTCATGGTTATTACAACGATTATAAGAAATGTGATTCAAGTCGAACATTTGAAACCCAATTCGTATGGCTGGCTATAGTTGAACGTGCAGAGGTGCTTGCTGTTATTTGTTGGCTTCCAGCAGGTTCGAATGCCTTCAGCGGCAACATATCATTATACCCGACCGCACTTGTGCACAAGGGTATTATAACTTTGTTCACATAACGGTTGTTTGTAACAGGCAAAACGAATCGAGATAGATATAGACAAATGTATACATAAATGATCAGGATGAAAAGAGNATAATTAAATTTTGAAAAATGGGCGTAGCACCGCCCACTTACGATCACATATATGTATCTCGGTAACCGTTCTACCAATTTGTACCAAACTCGATATTTTTATTGTGCTTGCTACATAAAAGCAAAACGATGAAAATTATTGAAATCGGACTAAAATTATGGCTTTTCATATAACGGTAAATTTTATAAATGCTTGAAACGTCAATATTTTGAAATTTTAGGACGCTAATTTACTCAAAATTGATACACCCCGGCTTACCATGTAGCGGTAGCTTTCGGAAAGGTGAAAATCATATATTTAATATTTTTGCCGGGTATTTAATGTTCGGCTCCGCCCGAACTTAGACTTTCTTACTTGTTTTTTTCTGTTTTTGGTATTTACTAATTACGAAAAAGCATCTGTATAGTGCAGAACCAAATTAAACGACGAAGAAAATTGATTCAAGTTGAACATTTGAAGACAAATTTATAAAGCGGCTGTAACTGAGATTACCAATCTGAAATTAGATTTTAAGAATTCAAATTGACGGATCCATATGGGATGTATCATTTATTACGGAAGAGTTATAATCGAATGTACGTACATGGCGTATGATAAGAATTCTCTCAGTCATCGGTCAAACGCCAAAGCAAACAGAAGTGAGTAGCGACTATTTTCTGTTCTGGTTTACCCTTTCATTCGCCCTACGTGCGCGTCCGCATTTCATCAGTGTCGTTGACTAATTTGTGCCTAAAAGTAAAAGCAAAGAACTAAAATGAAGGACCCACCTGATGTGGGTGGGAGTGCCCCTCCCCCCGCTCAGACTTATCAAATCGATAGACAGAAGTTTATTGAAATCAATTCTCACGGACCTAAGTATATGTTGATCAAACGAATAAATAGTGAAGAAGGTTTAGCCAAAATATCCCCATTTCTAATAAAAAAAAGTGATTGATAGTGTATGTGGAGAAGTCGACAGCTGCAAAAAAATCAGAAGCGGTGAAATTCTCGTTAAAACAAAAAACTACACACAAGCTGATAAACTTATTAAACTAACGTCTTTCTGCCCCAACATTAAAGTGGAGGTGCGCACTCATTCTACACTTAATTTTACCAAAGGTGTCATTTATTGCAATGACCTCCGAGGCATACCCGAAAGCGAAATTTTATATGAAATCAAAGGCCAAAATGTAACGGAAGTAAGAAAAATCTTAAGAAAAGAAAGCAGCATGACTGAAACACTGGTAGAGACAGGTCTCTTAACGCTCACATTTTCAACACTAACGTTGCCCGACACTGTATCAGTAGGCTATGAGAAAATAAACATCCGACCATACATCCCCTTGCCTCTGCGCTGTAAAAACTGCCACCGATATGGACACACCACAAAATACTGTCGAAATGAAAAGCTCTGCCCAAACTGCACTGGAAGAAACCACACATCACCTGATCTGAACGAAAAGTGCTACCTCTTGCCCTCCTGTCACAACTGCAAAGAAAACAACATGACAAACGGAGATCACTCGCCTTACTTCAGAAGGTGCCCGATGTTTATGAAACAAAAAGAAATTCAGGCAATAAAAACACTTCAAAAAGTAGACCACAAAGCAGCACATGCCATCTATAAACAAAGACACCAACAATCAAACACATTTGCCAATACACTACGAGAACAAATAACCTACAGCTCTAGCGATGAACTTCCAGCAACAACTCCTTCTGGACCAAGCAACTCTCAAAACAACATCCACATGAGCGACCCTTTACCGAGCTTACAATCCACCGGTGACATGCAGAGTAACAGCACTGTCCACATAAGCACAACAGCTAACCCTACAGTGGGAGCACGTACAAACCAATCAATTAACAGCTGCTCGACTTCCTCAGCAACAAACAAATGCTATGAAGCCTCTCAGCTAACAGCAACAAAAATTAAGATAGTTCCCAGAAACGCTTCAAACCGTACAATCAAGCAAATGAAAGCTAAATCCAAATCACAATTAACCAAAAACAAAGCAAGAGCAATCAGCGATAAGCAGGAAGACAAATATTTTAACATAGACCATAGCGAAGACTCAGAGAGTCTTGCTATGTTAGAATAAACTGTCCCCAAGAACTGTTCACAAAACTAGTAGTATTAGGACCTTAAGTTTATCTGTATAAGCCTTAATACAAACTAGTTTTAATAGTAAAATAAGTAAATATGTCCCTTCCTACAATGGAATATAAAAGGCTATACAAACAACTACATTAACCTACAACTACTTCTAAAAACATATACACCTAAAATAATATCGCTACAAGAAACACACATACAAAACAATCAAAACGTACCAATACCTATTAACTACCACCTCCAATTCCCGCCGCAACTCCTTTGGCGTATCCGCAATACTAATTCGTACCTCTTTGCAACACAAAACTATAAACCAGACTCCAAACAACTTTGACATAATAAGCATTACTATTCACTCCAAGATAAAGTTCGTATATCCGTGTATATCCCTCCAAACACTCAATTTTCCATCAAAAGCCTAGATAATATTCTCCCTCAAACTAGACTACCGGTTTTTGCCACTGGCGACTTCAATTCCTGGCATAACAGCTGGGGTTCTAAAAACAGCAACGAAAGGGGGAAAACTGTATTCAAATTTCTGACCCAGTCCTCACTAACCCTTTTAAACGACGGCTCGCCTACACACTATTCGACACACCACACTTTCACACACATCGACCTATCATTCGCATCTCCCATTCTTGCCCTCCAAAGTCACTGGCAAATAGAGTCACACCTCTTTGGCAGTGACCATTTCCCGATAATAGTATCCCTCATCACCGATGATATCGCCGAAAAACCTCTAAACCGGCCAATTTTCAACTTAACTAAAGCCAACTGGACTCAGTTCCACTCACTAGCAATCCAATTTAGCAACAGTAGACCAGTAAGCTCAAACATCAACAAAGAAACGGCCAATATGCATAAAATCATCCTGCAAAGCGCAAACCAATCAATACCCCAATTAACAAACATATGGAAAAATAAAGTCCCGTGGTGGAACAAAACACTGGAAGAGTTAAAATCCGAAAAAAATCATCTTTGGAACAAACTAAAACGAAACATCACGAATGATAATATAATAGAATACAAAAAAGCTCATGCCAAATTTAGACGCCATCTCAAACTATCTAAAACAGAATCAAAAAATAATTTCACCTCTAACATCATCCCATACACTCCACCAATAAAAGTGTGGGCAACTATCCGCGCTTTCTGCGGACTAAAACCCAGACACTCAATTCACTGTATCGATACACTCACAAAGAGAAGTACAACCACAAATAAGACTGAAATAGCTGAAGAATTCGCCAAATATTGGTCAAATGAAGCTCTCGACAATAAATTCCCCGTAACATTCCAGCAAAGCAAGCAAACCACTCTTAAGGAAATCCCAACCTTAACGCCTAGCAAATCCGCTGCCTTTATAGAAGAAAAAAATTGGTTACACCGAACTCGACGCAGCTCTATGTAGGCTAAAAGGCAAAACTCCTGGACTGGATCGAATATCCTACCAGATGTAACAGCACTTACCATTAATAGTAAAACATAGACTCCTTGATCATTTCAATAATATTTTCAATAACTACTTACCCCAACTATACAAAAATAGCATCATTATACCAATCCTAAAACCAGATACAGACAAAACTTTAATAAAATCGTACAGGCCTATTTCCCTCAACCCATGCTGCTCAAAACTTTTAGATAAAATTATAGCAAATCGACTATGGTGGTTTGTCACTAAAGACAAACTCCTACATAGTCACCAGATGGGATTCAGGAAGGGAAAATCAGTGTCTGATCCTCTAGTGTACTTAGATCATCACATCACTCAATCCCTATCAGCCAAAAAAACATGTCTCTATAGTCTCACTTGATTTTTCTAAGGCTTTCGACAAGATCGGAGTTCACTCCATCTTAAACCAGTTGAAACAATGGAACATTGGACCTAAAATTTTCAAGTATATAAAAAACTACATGACAAACAGAACCATCAAAGTAAAAATAAACGCATACTACTCCCAGACTTTCCCTCTTCAAAATGGTATCCCACAGGGCTCTCCATTATCGGTCATACTCTTTCTAATCGCATACAACAAACTCTGCAATATAATCTCTCTACACAAAGAATTAGACTTTCTTGCATATGCTGATGACTTTATCATCATAAAAAAATGAACAAATCAAAAAACATTTCACTAGACTTAAATAATTTACATAACGATATAACTATATGGTCCTTAACCTCAGGAGCTGAATTATCGCTACATAAATGCAAACACATACACATATGCAAAAAACAAAATTGTTCGTCTAACGTATACTGCAATAACCTTACCATAAACTCCGTTGACAATCTAAGAATACTTGGGCTCATCTTTAATAAAAGATATAGTTGGAACAGCCATATTGAATACCTTGTAACCGCACTCCAAAAGCGACTCGACATCATAAAATGCCAGGCAAGCCCCAGATACAACTGCAACACAATATCATTAATCTCAGCCGTAAAAGCACTTATTATATCTAAAATAAACTACGGAATATACTTATATGCGTACTGCCCAATTTCGGTCGCTAACAAATTAAGATCAACCATCAATTCTAGCATTCGTATCGCCTTAGGAGCTTTTAAAACAACCCCTATTGTTCACCTTGCCTCAGAAGCCAATATAATTCCATTAAATGCCAATAGAGACCTCATTACGGCTAAACTCGCCAAATCTCTCGTAATAAACGACCAATCTCCCCTTTCCTCACTTCTATCCAAAACTACGCAAGCAAAGATAAATAAAATACCATCTTGTCTAAACAGAGTAATAAATACAGCTACACTGCTAGATATTCCACTGGGCTTTAAGCTGCCTAAAAACCCTAAAACACCGGAATGGAAACTGAGCTACACATCCATAGACACAAAACTGAGCTGCGTAAAAAGGATGCTACTCCCCCAATAGTCTTTCGAAACAAATTCCACGAAATTATTGAAGAACACCCAGATTTCAAATTCTTATATACAGACGGTTCAAGAATTAACTCAAAAACTAGCTACAGCGTGATTCAAAGCAACAAAATAGTAAAAATAGCACATCTACTCCCTTATAGCTCAAGCTTTGCAGCTGAGCTAATAGGTATTCATGAAGCCATAATATACGCCTCTAAGTTACCCCAGAAGTTTGCTATTTGTACCGACTCCCTTTCTTCCTTAGACGCAATAAAAAATATCAACAACGACAACTTTTACACTAACTCAATCCGCAGTTATCTCTTAGAAAAACCGAATAAGCTTAAACTCATATGGGTCCCTGCCACGTGCAAATTCCGGGCAACGAATATGCGGACCTTGCTGCGAAAAACGCCCTAAACGCACCCCTCACAGTCACACCAAACCTACTCTTCTCGGACATAAAGCGGTTCCTAAAAGCAGAGCTCTCCCAAAAAGACTCAAACATAGATAGAAATCTCTCCGAATGGTACACAAACATCTCGCAAAACAGTTAATCAATACCTTAAACTTAACGCTAAATCCTTATCTAGGAAAAACCAGACAAAAATTATCAGGCTGCGACTGGGGCATACTAGACTTACACATAAACACTTAATGGACAAAAACCTATCTAACACCTGTACCTACTGCAACGCTTATCCAACTAACGTCGAGCACATCCTCGATAAATGTACATACTTCGACGTCCATCGCGAATCACTTCTTTGCGTACGACCTTCCGACCTACTAAAAAATCCTTCTGTAGATAACCTAACAACTTTAATAAACTATTTAAAATTCTGCAACTTATACAACGATATTTAATAAATTAATACATTTTGACAGCCATTAACCCAAACTACACATAAATATCCAACAGGTGCTAAGTATGTATGAACATGTATGTACCAATACACCTATTTATACACAGTATACTAATAAAGCTCCGTTCATAAAAGTACACATATGTAGGTTAGCTTAAGGCCGTTGATGCCATAGCTTCTAAATTTATATTGTACTATAATTTATTTATAGTTTTAATATCTTTATAAATAAATAAATAAAATAAATAAGAATTCTCATCTCGTCTGACTAACTCATACGCCGTGTGCGTGCGTTCGAATTAACTTTTCCGTGATAAATGGTAGATCCGAGTGGACCCACCATTTTGAATTTTTAGATTATAATTTCGGAATCGTATTCAAGGACCCTGAAACCCCCTGAGTGACTAGGTGGTTGCAATAAATTGTAAGAAAATCTTCCGCCGTATAGGATTCGCCACTTTGAATTAAAAAATTACTTCAGATTTGTAATCAGCGACCTCGAAAACCTTAAAAGAATTCATCATCCAGGGAGAATAGAAACGAGAGGAAATGAGAAAACGTCAAAAATTACGCCGCGTTGATTTGGCGATAGCGCGCGCTGAGTCTCGCTGACAATAGAAAACGCAACGCTTATCGCTTCAATTTAGGGACGGCAGTTACACGGAAACAATCCCTTTGATTTTAATGTTCGCTTTACACGGATTTCTCAGGAATCTATCTGCCGTGTAAAATAAAATAATATAAAAAAAATATTTTTTAAAAACAAGCTTTTATTTAACATGTACAATCAAAGGAATAAACAAAGTCGTGTAACAAAAGATTTTTTAGCAAGAAAATTTTGTCAAAACTGCACTAAAATGAATAAAATAAAATAAGTTAAGGTCTCGTTAAAGTTACTAAAAGCCATTTAGTGAAAGGAGTTATTCAAACTCTAATGAAAATTACTAACAATTTTTACTAATTTACTTCGTTTTTAAAAAAGCTTGTCGCGCGAATTGCAAACCAGCACTTAAATATCTGCATACATACATATACATACCTAACCAATTATGCATGTACGCTGAATTCGCCGACAAGCTTTTTTAAAAACGAAGCTTGTTTTTAAAAAATATTTGTTTTACATTATTTTATTTTATAATTTTTAGTCCATTTATAAAAGCGTTGTATATTAAAAAGTGTTTTTCATTTTATGTACAAAATTTTGCAATAGATAATAAAATAATTCTACTTGCAGTGAAATAGAACAGAAGACTTGGCAAGCAAAATGTTGTTTGCTTATGTTTTGTATAAACATACATATGTACATATAGCAGCAGTTAATTTTATTAAAAGAAATGGCGTGTCGTCCATTTCCGTTGTAGCATGGCATATATTTAGGCGCAATATTTAACTTCTTCTGTCGGGGCGACATCTGGAGTCTTCTAATTCTTACAACGAGGTTCATATCTAGACTAGATTGGTATCTAGAATTTGCCACAAATAGCTTTGCTACACTACCGCCGCGGCGCGCCGGCAGCTTTAACAATTTTATAGTGGTTTTACGTTCTTTGGCAAATTACGCTCTGTTAGCCATAAATCTTACTCTTTTTTGACCGCCTTTGAATCAAGACCCCTGGATCATATGGGGAATTCATTTATATTTCAAATTGCATTGTCATCGTGATTGGAACTATGCCGAAAATTTCAAGTCTCTAACTTGTCGGGTAGTTAGTTTAAAATCGATTGGAAATTTCCGCGATTTCCGCGGGATGACCAAGTTAAATAAAAGCTTATAAAAAGGGATAGGTGTACATATACATACATGCATATATATTATGCATATATGCACTTACGTGCAGACATACTTATAAAGTTTCTTGCTATGTGTGCTAAAACACTTTTAGGTGGTAAAGGAATTCCATTCATTACGCATCCCGAATGCCCTAACTTTATTTAATAATCATTTAATATCCGAACATATTCATCATATTTTTACGTTACAAGAAGCTTAAGTTATCGCGTAATTCTTTGATAATATGTTGTCTGCAAATCCATTTATTATTAATAAAAAATATGTTCGGCCCAAGACTTAGTCAAGCAATTGATATTCTAGAAGGAAACTTGTATACTTTTCTATAATGAATTTGGCAAAACTTTTGAACTTTTTTCATTGCACTTGACTTAAACGAGTATAGCGGCAAAATGTCTAACACAAATAACAACAGTAACATTGATTACATGCACAGATTTGAAAAGCAATGTCGCCCACTAAAAAAAATACCAGCAACCAATGTCGGTGGCTACGAAAGAGAATGGCACCAGCACCAAAAATGTTACCAACAGCTTTGTTACCGAGACGTTGCCAGACATGCATATTTGATGACACGGATACATACATAGGCATGGGTTTGTTATAACCCTGCAGGGAAACCGCGGACTAGTGGATCAAATTTCTAGTTCCGTACTAGGCCTTTATTGCCAAAAAGGAGCTAGTCCGATAGGAACTGGATCCCCACCAGTCCAAAATCGGCGAAAAGTGGTACTTCTAAGAAACTAATTTTTCAGTTTTTTTCACTAGAAATCTATATCTAAAGTGACGAATTTAGAAATGGTTCGGAACTATAGAAAAAGGGATGCAGAACGAACTAGATCTTATTTGTCGAATTTAGAAGTAGTTTGGAACTATCGAATAAGGGATGCAGCGGGGGGCTTGTTTACTTTGCATAGATATGTGTTCGGCGGCTTTTTCGTTCAAATACGCTTCTATTCTGTGCTTCGCAGATGCTTTTTCATAGCATGGTAATACAAAACTAAAATTTGTGTTAACATTTCAACATCTTGAGACCGTCTGGAATCTAAGATATAACAGCGAGCACCTCTGCAAATTCAGCTACAGCTTAAGGTATGTAAACGTACATTTCTTACAATCATTCAAACAAATTTAATTTCAAATTGAAAACACATTTCTTCCAAAATAACTTAAAATCGCACACACGGAAGAACCAAAAAGATTGAAAAATCATGATACTTTTTTCTTTCGTCTGTCGATTTTAAAACTGGTTCGGAACTATAGAATT